CTTTGACTATAATAGACATTTTGGCTGGGTATAGTAATCTGGGTTGGCAACTGTGGTCATTTAAAACTGGGAATACTTTGGTCCAGGCTCTTCTGGCTTTCATAGTTTTCACTGAAAAGTCAGCTGTAATCCTAATGGGTTTTCCTTTATATGTGACTTGTTGTTTCTCTTTTGCAGCTCTCAGTATTCTCCTTGTTTTGTACGTTTAGTGTTTTTACTATGATGTGGCGTGGAGAGTTTCTTTTCTGTTCCTGTCTGTTTGGCGTTCTATATGCTTCTTATATTTGTATGGGCGTGTCTTTCTTTAATTTTGGAATTTTTCTTCAACGATTCTGTTGAAGATCTGGTCCATGCCATTATCTTGGGATTCTTCTCCTTCCTGTATGCCTATGATTCGTATGTTTGGTCTTTTTATGGTGTCACACAATTCCTGCATATTCCATTCCTATGTTTTGCTTTTTAATTTGTCATAGTCTTTGCTTGGGTGTTCCAGTTCCTCCACTTTATTGTGCAGTCTCAATATCCTGTTTTCCATTTTTGTCATTTCAAACTGGCTTAGAATTTTCAATTACATCTTCATTTTGTTCTGAGTTTTCTTCACTGTCTCTATCTCTTTCATCAATTCACTCTTCAGATCCTGAATTATCTTTGTCATTTCATTCTTCTGTGTATTTGTATTTTCTTTAACTTCAGTCGGGAGTTTATCCCTGTCCTCTTGGAGTTCTTTTGAGTTGCTTGTGTGTTCTTTAAATTCGTTGAATTCTTTGATCATATTCATGATTGTTCCTTCAAATTCTGTCTTCTGGGGTTCCTCTAGGTAGTTCTCATTATTGAACACTTTTATAGAACTGGTGGGGTTTGATGGGGACATATTTTGGTTTTTCATATTATCTGTGTTTTTTTGTTCTGGTCAAAGCATACAGATTTCCTTTGTTGCTTGCGTGTCTGATATGAAACTCAGACCTGCCTTTGTTGTGAAGTTTGATTCTGTTTATATTGTTGCTGTACCTTGGTTGCTTTCTGATCAGATATGAATAGTTAGTTGGTCTGTGCTTCAGGTTCTCTCTCTTGATTTTTTTATTGGAGGATCCAAGCCAGTGAGTCAAGAGCTCTCTAGGAGGGAGAAGGAGCTTAGACCCACACTGGGGGGATGGGAATCAGCTGAGCAGGTTCTAACTACTAAGCAGAGAAGTGTGATCCCTGGAACCCAATGAACTGTCCCAAAGCAGGGGAACAGTGACCTGGCTTGTAGGGATCTGGCTAACTCCCCCAGCTAGTCAGGTGTTCTCTTGAAGGCTTAGCAGGAAGGAGCCAAAGCCCAAGGAGGGCTGATGGGGACAGGATGGACTGGTTCTTAGCAGCTACAGAGAAGGTGTAAATTCTGGAGCAGCAGAACTAGGGGTGGTCCCAATGGAGATATTTCAACCCATACTGGACAACTGGAGGACATAATCTAAAACAGCCACGGAGACAGGATTTTCCAAAGTCTAGACCCTAAAGCATCCTCTAACATTGAGATGAGATTCTTTAACAGCACTAAGAAATCAGTATGTTAGATTATTTCATGATTTCAAACCAAGTTTTATCTCAGGTTGATAAAAAAAAAGTCAATTACCTAAATTATCACAACTCATTTCCTAAAAATCGAAAAAGTACATTAAAATTGTACTTTATGCAGCTCTGAAGACTGTGACAGCACATGAACGGGGCTTGTTACCAGCTGCAGCACGCTTCCTAAGTGGGTAAACAGACAGGGAGAAGTATCTTAAATTGCTGAAACGGGCTTCTGTTACTTAATTGTTTAAATACAGTTCAATTCCAACTCCTTAAGTTTTAGGCAGAATTTTTATGACTTCTTTACTGTGGATTTCTCAAGAAAATCATCACAGTGCTTTCAAGTGTTAAAGTCTGAGTACTGGCACGTTCTCTTTTCAGATGCACAGTCTGAAGAACAAAGCACAAAGCCTCCCTCTGTGCTTAAGTGAACTCATTCATGGGAGAAACAATTTAATTTCAGTCAAATTAATTTTTTGGAACTCTATTTGCTTGCATCAAAAAAGATCACAGACTAAATGTCTTTTCAAATAAAGTTCAACAAAGCATTTTAAATAAAAGTAGTGACTGTTAGTCATGGTAATCATTATAAAAGTGTTTAACATATTTTTACAAAAACATAAATGTAATTATTTTGCCCATACTCTACTTACAACGATTTTTCCTGTGGACAAATCTCTCTGTGGTTTAATCTGTGACCACACTTGTCCACAGCTCTGTCCGTGCACAGTCTTTCCTGCTTGTCCATGGCCCTTCCCACTTCCATAGTAGTTGAACACAGCAGGGAAGGTTTATAGTGCAACTATCATTTTATTACATATAGAAACAGCCAAGGAAGAAGTAAAATACAGTCTGAAAAGTTCTAAAATATTAACTATTGAAATATCAAGTCTCCTGCTTTATCACAAGTTTTTAAGTTTCAGTTATAGCAGGAGTGTTATTTAGCAGAAAAGGATAGAATGCATTAGTAGCTAACATATACATTTATGATTAATACAGCTCTCACTAACAATGTTACAGATTGAATAACTATCTAAAAGTACGACGTATTTAATTATTCCATAAGATTAAGATACCTGTTGGCCTATTTTAAATTAGGTACCCACTAATTATACAAAATTAAGTAACATGGACATTGTTCTGTTTTAATAAACTGGGAAACAATTTTCAAATAAAGATAAACACAATAGAAAAATTAAACACTGACTAGCACATCTGAATGTAAAGCAGAACAAAGAATCTTTAAAAGAAAAGAATTTGTGCTTCTCTAAAATTGTCAGAAATGACAGATACTGAAATCATACACAATTACTCCCAATATGATTAGCACGGTGACATGAACGTTAGCCCTGAGTGCTGAAACCCACAGCTAAAGATATTGATCCCTTTAATGTAAAACAGGACTCTCCTGGTAAGCACTGGGTTAAGATGCACAGCAATCTCCACCTTACTGGGAAGCACTCCTTTGATCTCAGGTCAATGTAGATGACAGAAATAAACTGCCTGGCTACATTACCTGTGAACGTGGCAGGCCAGGACCTACTGCCAAGCATGCCACATGGAGCTGAAGGAAGCGTCCACACCTCAGCCAACAGTGCCTGTGGAGACAAGGGGTCGCCTCGTCACTTTGCTCTTCTTGTCCCAGTGATACTGCTGGAGCCATCGTTGATGGATTTGGCTGATGCCGAGTTCATCAGGATGGACCCTGACAAAGAAAGCTATTGCTAAAAGCAGTCAAGTATTTTTCCTTTTCCTATTGGTAAATAAGATGTCAACCCACCTAATTATTATGCTACAAATTAAAGCCTTTCCCCTGGACACCCAAGATGCACTGGGCACAAGTGATTTGTGTACATTTTCTTCATGGGACTTTTCTTTCAGACATTTGTCATCTTGAAAATGGGTACAACACAGCTAGAAAGATCTAAACAGTGTCATTTTTGCATTTCCTAGAGGTAGAAAATGCCCCTCTCTTCACTTTCAGTAGTGTTTACTTCAACCCCAGAGAGGTCACAAACTGGTCACAAACCAATAATCACCCCCACCAAGCACACACCTCAAATATTAATAGTGCCAGATTAGCCCACTTTACCAGCTACCAGGAGCTCTGTGAACTTTCTGGTAAAACAGAATACAGAAAGGAAAAATATTCTTCCTACTTGGCATATTCATAAAATTACAATGAAGGTTAAAAGATCAAAAGTCAATGTGTGACAACCATTACAAGTCTAGCATAGTTTCTACTAACAAAGGGAAAAATGCATTACAGAGCATTTTAATAACTTTCTATGCATAAAAGCCTTTTGATAGAAAACTGCTTCTCTTCTTGAAGAAGCAGAATTGTTCTGAAAGCTGTTTGTCTTAGGAACTAAGATGACGGAGCTGGAACAGAGAAGGGGTGAAGCTAATTACAACCATGTATCTTAATATTCAAAGCAGTGTAGAGGGTCAAACAGCTAAGACTCATTAGGGTGTTTGCTTTCTAAACCTGACAAGCTCTAAGTGACTTAGACTGGTGGAGGAGTGTGCATTTGTCTAGCTGTTTTTAATTACCGAACATTTTAGTTGTCTGTCACTAATTCTCAAATACTTGAGGTCCACCTGTGCAAGTTAATGACCCAAGGTCTTGACATCCATTTTCTGACAACTCGGGACACTCCATTCGCTGTTAGAATGCCCACCGACCGCAGTGAGGATAGACATCAGTCGGTCCAAGTGTTCTGCAGACAACCACAGAGTCACATCCTAAATATTCTTTTTGTCATCAGTTTTGAGAAATGAGACATGATGGCCTTGAAAATCATGCTACAAACAGGTAGGTGCCTGGCTAGCTCACAAAAAACTGATAAATCCTTCAGCTCCCTGAACTGCCTGAATTAAACAGCGATTTTTCAGATTAGGCGATCACATTGCCCAGACTTTCCATTCTGTTGGAGTCATCTAATAAGCAAGGCTCTTCCTTGGTGTCGGACCTGTCACCTCAGCACATCCCCTATCACTTCTCTGCCCACATCCCTTCAGATTTCTACTGGTTTCAAACTCATTGGGAGGGCAAGTGCAGTTGGGGTGGAGAAAGAAATCAGCAACAGGATTGTCAAAAGTGATCCTGTTTGGCCCAGTTTTCAAATAAATGAAGAACACAGAGCTATTTCTGCTGATAGTTCTTTCAAAATATGGTTTCAATTAACCAGCACATGAATTATACTCGTTTACAATTCATAATCACCAAATTTTCTAAAATGAAAACATCTTTGAAAACAATTTTAAGTAAAGGATGGACCATTATACCGTTAAGAATACTGACTTTGGAGACTCATAGACTGAGACTCCAATTCTAGCTTTGCCACATACAACACGGAAGACCACAAGCAAATCACATAAACGACTCCAAGCCCCAGTGTATTTCTGTGTAAATGAAACTTATAACTTCTTCAGTGGTACCAGTTATTTTCTGATGATGATGGTGATGATGGTCAACTATGATCATCTGTTACAAAAGAAAAGTGGGAAGGAGCAGAAGACGGATGTGAGGGCCAGCCACAGGTAGATAAAACAGGAACTTGCAACAACTATCAATGAATGCTGTGGAAGGAAGGAAGGTGCCGAGAGGGAGGAGGGTGGGAGGGAGAAGAAGGAGGGAAGGGGGAGGAAGGTGGGGAGGGAGAGGAAGGAAGGGAGAGGGAAAAGAACCTCAGCTCTTCCTCAGTAATATCAACAATCCACATTCTTAAAGTCTACAAATTTAGTGAAAATAGGAGTCCATTTTTGGCTCTAGAAAACTTATAAGTACTGAGGCTCCAAATGTTCATTTAAAATATAGAAGATGACATATCAGAAGGTAATGTATTAAAATTTAGAGATGGAACAAAATTTTTCAAAATTATGTCAAGTTGATGGAATATCACTGAAATTTCAGTCACTATTCCCAAGCTGGTTATGGTTTCTTTATTCCTGGGAAAGTGAACGAACATAGGTCATTAACATGAAAGCTGAAGTGAAGTCACATTAACCTAAAACACCTGCAGACATAGACCAGCATGCAGTCTTCATTTTACTTAATCTCATTACTTGCCTTGCAATTTGGAAAGAAATGTCCACTGTATTATTTTAGTATTATCTTCCACTACACTTCGATTTTTTTAAGCTACTACAGTTGGGAAGAGAGTCAAGGGTTACAAAGCAATCCACGTCAGTCCCTAGACAGTGGGAGTGATATGGGCTCAGTTCCCTTTTGATGAGTTCCCAGATATCAATAATTCAATAGACACATTTTTCAAAGTAGGTACCAGGAACCTTCAACTCAAGATAATCCAGTCAATCTTAGCTATAATGTGGGAGGATTTATTGGAATAGAAAAACATTAAAATGCCGCTCCTTCCCCCAAAATAAAACCTACAGCAGACTAAAATGAAGGACCAACATGAACAGGACCGAAAGTTTTCCCTGTCTATGTCATCTAAGAGCTGGAGCCAGAACTGCACAGTGGACAGATTCTCAAGTATACACTTTCGAGTACACATGCTCTGGAGGTCAGAGGACAACTTTTGGGAGCCATTTCTCTCCTTCCACTGTGGGTTTCTGGGACTGAACTCAAGTCATCAAGCTTGGGTGGTACGCACCTTTACCTGCTGAGTCATCTCACTGGTGCTATATGTTGGAATTGTAAGATCAGGATGCTGGATTATACAAATACAGATTCTATAAGCAGAGACTGCAGAGGACCCCCTGCAGCAGCCCTGGCCTGCAGAGCTTCTGCCCTCCTTTTGGGGAGCAGCTCAGAGGAGGAGGGGAAAGTTTTAGTGTCACCATGACCAATCAGTGCCTCCAGCCAGTGCTGGGAACAAACATCCTGCCATGCAAACAACAGTCCTGTTCAGTGAAGAAGGAAGAAGGGCCCAAAGAGAGACGACAGGTGCACCAGGACACTATATGAAGTGGGTATTCTGGAAAACAGTCATCATTTGGACTAGAAAAAGCCTAAACAGACACAGGTAAGATAAGAGTGTATGAGATAATCCTCTACTATTCTAAAACAAGACTCCAGCACTTCTCCCCAGGAACAAGGTCTGAAAGGATGCATGTTCTAGAGTAACCTGGTGTGCATGTTTTCTGAATAAAAGGGATTATTAAAATCTTGCCATATGTACATATAGAGATATGTTAAAAACAGAGATTCTGCAATCTATTAACCTTATCACAATATGGGATTTGTAAGAGGCCCTGTAACTAAAAATAAGAGAATCTAAGGAAGCCCGGAATACGTCTAAAAACACAGATGGAGAAAAATTAGGTAGCATTTTCCATAGATAAGTATTCACCAACATATAATATTTGAATAAGTTGAGGTTTTTAAACTTACATAATTTGTGGTTTTGTAATAATAGCACAGAACCCCACTGCCTTAGTGAAGGAACTGAAGAAACAAAATGTTTCAGCATTTTGAATCCCGACTGAAACTCTCACACATCTTAAACCCTCCAAGATCATCTATCGCTGTCTCAAGTTCTTTTATCATGCACATAAACTTGATGAAAACAGAACAGGGTGAGGTAGAAAAGGCGAGTTACATTTCACAAACGGAATCAGGAATAGAATCAAAAGGTTTCAATTCAGCAAGGTATTTACTGAGTGCACGCCACACTTGGTGGCACTCACAGGGCAGTATACTCCACCACTGCTGCAGACACAAATGATTATTAAATAAGCAACAGTTTCATCATTATAGTTATGTGATGTTATTTGAAGTGAACCACAAAATATAAATTCTGATTAAGAACTGTTCTATGAAATTACAAAAAGCTCAATAAAAATTTTTTTAAAAATATTAATTCTAGGCTGGGCATGGTGGCGCACGCTTTTAATCCCAGCACGTGGGAGGCAGAGGCAGGCGGATCTCTGTGAGTTCAAGGGCAGC